TAAAAAATTCCAATTGGTCGAATACTTGGCGGCAGCAGCCACAACCAATTTTGCACTATGCTCTCATTAAAAGATTTGGGACATTATGGCATATGTATGAGTGTATTAGTTGTAATAAGTTTAGATAAAGTTATATGACATTTTTTTAATTCAGATAGATGTGTTTTAAAGAAATTTACGAATATATTAAATCACCATGGCATTAACATGTAACCTCTTAATTCATACTGAGGGAACTACTTATGAGAATAATATGTCATTCTGATTTTTATGATTATATTCACTCGTTAATTTGAATTTTAAAATTATCAAGATATTATTTTAATTTCTAAAATTATAAATATGTATTAATTTATTTTCAAAAATTTTAAAATTTAATAATAATTAATCTTAATATTCTAGCATAAAATTTATAAATAAATTATTAAATAAGCTAAAATATTATACAAACATATTGAATGGATAAAAAAAAAAAAGCAACAATCTCTAGTGTAAATACATTTTTAAATAAAGATAAAATAAAAAGAAAAGTCTCAAGAGAATTTTTTTAAGTAAAATAAAATATATCATTTGGATAACTAGTAAAATAGGTTATGTAGCTCATTTGAGTTAGCTCTTCACAAGTAACAAGATTTAGCATATCATGCTAAAAGTGCACAAATATAATTTAAACTTGTAATAATAGGACTTAAAATAGATAAAATAATAATAATTCTTTTCAAATTTTTGTAAGTTTAACATACACCAAATTTAATTGATTCAGATTAAAAATATATTAATTTAATTTAAATTCAAAATATAAAACTCATACCCTATATTTTATGGAGCACGCGAGTTCTGTTAGCTTCAGGTATTTGATATGGACAGTCGTAGACACTCTGATGATTCATAATGTATTATATTTAATACGTTATTAGACAAATTTGACTATGATTAATGGGAGAGAGTAATATTTTGATATTTTTTTAATAACTTTATATTTTTAAAATTCTTTGATATAATTTTAAATATTACATTTACAAGTGCTTATGATTTTAAGAACTACAATAATTGATTATAATAATTTTATTGACTACAAATTTTGTTTGATAATTAATAGATAAAAATAATTTTAAAGACTAAAATAATTAAATTTTATAATTTTAGAGACTTTTTTTTGTAATTATAAGAACTAAACTAATGTTGCTTATAATTTCATTAATTAAAATAAATAAATAGATTGATAATTACATATAATTTTACGAATTAAAATGACATATTACTCATCTAATGTTTTAAAAAAGTTTGTTAGCTTTGCTGCAAGAGAGGGAAGAAACCAAATACTTTTTATACAGACTTACAGTGACATTTACACAGTTCAGTATACATTTTTCGTTAATTTGTTTAATACAGAACCGTGTATACAAGGGTATAATCTTCCCGCTCGATTTAAATATTTTATTTAACTTATATTTAATGAGTTATAATTGTTATTTTACTAATCATTAAATATAAATTAAATAAAAAATTTAAATTTAGTATAAGAATTTTTAAATTAATATAAAAAAATATTATTTTATATATATATATATATATATATATATGCTAGAATCTTCTTAGATCGGGGTAAGTCTAAAAATTCTTACATTTAATTTAAATATTTCATTTAACTTAAATATAATGAGTTATGATTTATTATTTTACTAACTATTAAATTTAAAATAAATAAAAAGTTCAAATTGAATATAAATTTTTAAACTTACACTAGTATAAAAAATTATTACTATATATATAAAAAGCAAGAGAGAAAATGAGACAGCATTTTGCCCTAGCAGCTACCGGAAACAATGCTACAAATAGAAAATATTCATTGTGATGGCAGAAATATTGTCCTCTCCTTTTCGCGTTGCCTAACTGATCAAGGAATAGTCAACTAATAATAATGATAAAAGTTTTATAGAGGGGAGAGGGATGTTTTCTTTACACATGTAAATTGAGTAAATATATAATTCATTTTTTTTATCTATTAAGAATTTGTTTGATGAAAGCTGGTCTTCAAATCTATAAATTTATTCATATTTTAATTATTTTCTTGCAAAAATGTCAATAAATGAGAGTAATATAAACAACAACAACAACAAATTGTTTAGGCACCAAATTACACGTGTACTGATCGTTTTAGAGACTAATAAATTTTTAAAAACAACCAAGACATAAACAAGTTCAAATTCCAATTTGTACATTTATTCTTAAACATGTAAGCTGAAAATTGAAAAATACTACTTACGTTCTGTACCTTTTTGACATAAGTGAGATTAAAGATGATTGGAGATATTAAAGCGACCTCACCTCGCAAAATGTAACAAATAGAAAACATTTTATTAGACTCCACATACCACATAAGTCGTCCAACTGCAAATACTTTAAAAATGAAACTGATTTTTTTAAAATATTAGGAGTATAGTTTATTTGAACATTTTTTATAAAATTTATGTTGTTTAGTTTGTGACGACCGATTTTTTATAAATTTTATTATAATAGAAAGTATAAAGAACTTTACTCAAACCTAGTAATATTCAGAAAAATATTAATTTAAACTTTTAAAACTTAAAATAAGTAATTAATAATGTGTTATATTAATAGATATTTTGTTTTACCTTATCAACTAAGAAATAGATTCTGAAAAGATAGCGATTCTAATTAAATTTAAACACATATTTTCAATTCGCTTTTTAATTGATTTGATTTGCGTGAAGTAGGAAGGGACTCACTAATCCACTACCTGCTAGAGAATTATTAAACAGGTTGGAGTTCAGTGTCAATTCTTGATTTGTTATTAAAGCGTACTTTTTGACATTTGGTCATTTTATTTCTTCGTCTTTACAAATGATTGAAATTCACCCAATAACTTTAAGGCCTTTTTCGCCCATTAATGAATCCGTAAAACAGTATTCTCAACGTGTTTTATAATTTCAGAGTAGAGTTTATTTTATATCAGACTTAAAATTTTAATGCCAAACTTCAAAAGTAATATTTTATCGCTTTTAATGTGAAGAAAATTAAAATTAAATGTTGATTAACAAAAATATTCAAACAGGTAAATATTTGTTACTCAAACACACTTTTCTTCGTATAGCTTTAGGATATTTTAGAAGATTGATGATTATACAAGGACCACTTCATATGGTAACATATGATTAAAGCATGAATAACAGTGTGAGCTGTATAGACTTTATAATACCAACCACTCTACACCTAATAACCTTGACATCACATAATTTGGCTGGAGAAACGGTTCAACTAACATCCCTTCACTCACGACGAAGTGTTAATTTGATCTATAATTGAATCCAGTGAGATACTTCAACCAACTTTTCAGGCTATTCAATTCCAAACAAACTAAGCGTGAACTTGGGACTTGAGAGACTGAATCTCCACTCACCCATTTCCTCAAACATATAGCAGATTACTTTCCTTAATTAGTCTACTGAGGAACATATTCATGCAATTCACATTGCAACTACACAATGTACAAGGATTATCTACCTATATTTTCTGAAAAATAAATAAATATGGCTACTCATTTGTTTATGGTTTGGCTTACATTATTAATTTTGCTTTGGTTTCAAAAACATAGATCAATGTCAAAATTGCAATTAGTTTATATAATTTAATTTACTTCGCATAACGCATTTGGAGGCTGAGTTAATAAGAAACTGATGAGTAGGGCTCCTTGTCCCCTATATATTTATTTCATCAATGTTCTTAGTTGCGGGCCTCTAAGGTTGGTGTATCTTTAAATGCATTTCTGGGGGGTTTTAGATGTAAATTGCGCTTTCATGCCATCACTTTTTTGTTCTGACTGAGCCTACATGTCCCACATATATACTCCATATTCACAGATCTGCATGCATTGTTTGGAACATTGGAGTAAATATCTAAGGGAAAAAGGGGAGAGAAGATATATTTTAAACATTATATAATTGTTTAATTTTAAAATAAATTATTGTCCTTTTTTTTCCCCTTAACTTTACTCTCAAATATATTAGAAAATTGTAAGAATGACTACTAGTAATTATTAATCTCTCAGAAATTTCCCTTCGTGTCAAGACTTTTAGTACTAACTTCACCATATGTGCATTACTTTATTATCGATCGTTTGGACATCTATGCCAGCAAAACAAGATGATCACTCCAAGATAACTCAAAGTCTTTGTTTTTAATTAGATTTACGTTGTAATAGTACAGGCAATAAATGGCTTTTATAGTTAGAACAGATTTCTTACGTTCTTTGAACTTAAAAGTGTGAGGAATAGACATGCATAATTTTAACAAATCTGTTATATTAAGGTTGATTAATAAATTTATACATCTAACATTCTTTATAATAAAGTTTGTATTGACAATTCCCCCTTAATTAGAAATGTTCATTTTGGGATACAGATAAAAATACACATTCCAAGATCTATATTGCTGTCATTCTCATTATTGTGAATATTTCTCATTATTGTGAATATAACTCTCTCCCTAACAACATTAACACAACTCTCGCACTATTGTTAGTGTTTTTTAATTATTTAAAGTTTATATATAATGATATTTCATGCATAATTAATCACAATGATCAGAATCAGTGTACTTGAATTAGTTTATTTTATTCGAAACCACATATAGTTAAGAGCTTACTAAACTAGCTATTTTAGCAAAAGCTTTTTCTTTTACCATAATTAAATCCAGACATACTACCAATCTCACCCCTTCCTTCTGCACAAAAAGAGAAAAGAAAGAGTTTTGCAGACAAAGGAATAGGACATTTTATTACTGCCGAGTGACCAAAATTACTGGCAACAAAGATGGAGCCATTGGAGGGACAAACCAGGACATAAAACTTAGCACTACAAAGCACACTAGTTAGGGGATCATCATCAGATGAAAAAAACTAAGAGGGCACACATGGATAGAATAAAACTACACACATATATCTTGTGACTTGCTAGAGAAAGCGAAAACCAGAATGATGATCAAGTCATGGAATCAAGGGCCATGATAGTAGTGAGATTCAGGGGGTGCATGTACTCAGTGGTGCCTCGCAGGATCTGTTGGACTATGATTTTACTTGCTTTCTCGGATGGATGGAATGGATCCCAAAACGCGTAAAGGTCTCTGTTTGGGCACAAATTTGAAGTGGGTGTGCACAGCCCAATCCCATTGTATGGCCCTTGCCCACAACAAGCTATCTTTGATGTCACAAAACCTGTTAGCCCAAATACATAATGGACCATTAAATTTGTTGTTCAAATATTTAAAAGGGAAACCATTGGGCTTCAGTTTGATGATAAGAGGAGCTCATTAGACTCTTTACCCACACTTATTAAGTCTAATTTTATAGTTCACCAAAAAATCAAAATTAAGTCCAATTTTACAGTTACACTAAATCGCACTCCTTAATATTACTTATATTTAATTTAAAGACCGAGGTTTATTTGTCAAGTCAATCTTGTGAACCAAATAATTGTTTTCTTTCTCATGTTTACGTCCCTTAAGAAAATTAAAAGAACCATCTATATATTCTATTTTCACACGGGATCATAATATATTGAGATTAATTTTATTTAATAATAATACATGAACAATGAAGATTGACCTTTTAAAATAAAAGAATATTATTTATTCATATACAACACACAAGCCATAATATCTGTTAATTTTGCAATCATATTATACAATTACTCACATGAGAAACTTTTTAAGAAATTAATAATTTTTTTAAAAAGATATTTTCGTATCTCATTCTTAAAATTAAATATGAAAACATTTTAAATGCTCTGTTAAAATTTTATTCAATGTCACATGGGTCGTCCCATAATCATCACAAAATTACTGAGTACTGTTAAAGAAAAATGGATAAAAAGGAGCAATTCTATAAATTAAAAACTTGCTGACTAATTTCAGTCTCTCAAAATCGTGTGGGCACACATACATTAACGTTTATAGGCATACACACTAACATTAATTTTTTCCCAAAGTATATGGTGCATACGTACCATAAGCTCGAGGGTTGGAAACGAAATCCATGTGCATTCTATAAGCATTAGCAGCAATGAAGACATCAGCACCGATTTCTCGGTTAAGTCCATTGATCATTTCAACGAGTTGGGGATTGTATAAGGATGCAGCTCTCTGAAGTTCCACGTCGCAATCACCATTTCTGCTCCTCATGGCTAATTCCGCTGGAACACACCCCATTGGCCCTGTGCCCGTGACAAGAACCCTACGAGCTCCCAAATCATAAAGCTTCTGCATGTGTTTTCAAGTGTGTATTTTTGTGTTAATTAATTAGGTCGTGTACATATATTCTACATCTACATGTAATTAAATATATAAGTTGCAGTGAAGGCGAAAAAATCTATTAACTTATGCAGAATAATATTAGAGTGTAGCTAGATGTGACATTTTAATGTGTCATATAAATAATAAGTTTGAAAGTGACGAACAAATTCGGTATCCCTCACCAACCAAAACATACATCTATGCTTTTGCATGAATACACTCACTCCTACACCAACACTTGCACGTGGAGCAACAAACGGTCTTAGAAACATGACCATGACCCTTTAAAGATGTCCATGTTATTAAATTTCCTTAATAAACTGCAACATTCTCAATATTTGCAACCAATCACATACGGGAAAATTAATTGTCAAAGGGCCTAGCCTAATTCAAAGATATAATAATTGTTTGGGAAAATAATACATACAGTGAGAACTTTGCGGTACTCAGATATGAGATAGCGCACATAATCTGGGAGAGAAAATTGGCGCGATCTTGCTGAATAAGGCACCAAGTAGTAATTGTTGACAAAATCGTTGCCTCCAAGAGTGATGAGTACGAGTGCTCTGTTTACTATGTTCCGCGCTCCCTCCGCACCAATGTGTGCTCTTAACCTTTTCTGATACTCTTGGAATAGCTTCAGTTGCTTCTCGATGTGGATAATGTGCAACTGCCAAAACAATAGTATACCTTACTATATATCAAGTTTTTCAATACATATAATAAGCACTCTAAATTATAATATGTCCCCAACACATATATATAAATTAAAAACTAATTAAGCTTACAAATTGTATTCCCGTGTCGTTGAGAATGCCAATCCCCGCGGATGCAAAATTGGCACCAATTAGGAGCTTCTCTCCAATTAGTAGAGGACTCAAATATGGCAGCGTAGGCTCTAAGCCAAGCTCTAAACCTGAAATTAAAAAGAATTGCACAAGTCCATAAATACACATGAGCCTAGTTATGGCCATGCATGCAAATGGTATGTAGAAACAAATGGGCATGCATTGATGAATTAGTATATCATTAGTCAAAAACACATTGATTTTAATGTCAATTATGTGAGAAACTCTCATACTGATTATGTCAGGGATGTTTAGGCCATTAGAGAAGCGTCCAGTGGGTCTGTGTGTTGGGAAATCAATGCCATAGGGAGGAGCATCTGCTCTTGCTGTGGTTGCCAAGAAATCGTTGTTGCCACTGTCCACAAGTGAATCACCAAAAACGAAGAAAGCCCGTGTTGATTGAGCAGAAACAGAACCTTGAGCTACAACCAAGCTTAGTATTACTAAACAACAGCCAAACACCAAAACATTAGCCATGGCTATTTTACTTGTATGTGATATATGATTCTTAGTTTGATAACTCGTGGTTTGCATGGAGCAATTGAGAAGGGGTATATATATATAAAGCCTGAGAAGTTGATCCTTGCAAATGCAAACCACATTCATAAATGTTTTCTTCTACCACCTCTTCAGATTTAAAGCAAACCGCCGAATCAAAAAGAAGCAAGTACCTCAAACAATTCCAACATCCAAACCTGGCATCAGTAATTTCTAGCCGCATATGTAGAGAGGGTATGAAATATTGGGAGTGATTTTACATCAAACCACAAGAAAACATTGAAGTTAAACATTTTCATCTTCACTTCTTGACATATTGTTGACTATGCGACTTAATTTATATAATTATTGGTAGATTGGTGGCATGTAATTTATCTAAGTTAGCAGTTAACAAATTAACCCACCTTGTTGAATCAGTAGAACTGCTTTATTTAGTAATTTGGAAAGTTCATTTTGGGAGATGAATGACGTGTTATGTTACTTTCTGCTCGTAAAATAATTAAGGTAACAAGAGGTGTAACTTTTGTTAGTCTTTTTCCCAAAGTGACAGAACTTGACCGATTATATTGAAGAGAATAAAATGATTAATTATTATAGTTAAAAGCCATGCAAACACGTAACACATTCATACGCACAAAATTTAATATCATATCCTTAAAATAAAATTAAATGCAAAAATTATATTTACTTAAAGTATTGTTTTCATTCTTTTAAATGCCTGACATCATCAACAATAACATCAAATTTAAATTTTTAATATAAATAACTATTTATCTGTAAAAAATTATTTATTTACCATTTTTTTATTATTTGAATTTTAACTGCTTGAGTTTAAAATAATAAACTATAGTATGGCAGCGGAGAGTCTATTAATGTGAGAATGAGAAAGTAGCTAGTTAATATAGGGTGATCCAAAAACAGTTGACGTCAAAGTGTGTTGATATATTTAAAACTATAACTATTTCAAGCAGATCGAGTACTAAAGTTATGCTCCGCCAACTTTGTTGTCAATATAGTTTTGGAACTTGTTATTGCTGCGTATCGTTTGAAGTTGACCCTCTAGCCTCAGAGAGCCTAGAGTTATATTCATCACTAAGATCGCATCATGCTTCTAATTAATTCACCTCACGAAGATCAATTTCGATCAAATTCAATAATCGCAATCGATCTAATTCCAATTGCATCCTGTATATTTCATTAAAGGCAAAGATTACAAATGGTCTTTCAATAGACTCTCAGTTAATTGCATTAACTACTTGATTAATTTGATCAGAAATACTACAATTACTATGTAATTAGGCTAGAGGATTTTTTTTGCTAGTTAATTTGTATGGTGTCAGATCATAGGATAAAATTAACCTTAAGGACTGTTTGTTCAGAGAATCAAATCTTGGTCATGTCGCTTTACTTGCACTTTAGTTCAACGATATCAGACATAAAGGGGAACCACGAGTTCTTTTAAGCACCGCAAACTTAGGTAGTCATATAAAATGTGATCAAAGGAATAAAATAACACACAAAGAACTTGAACCCCAAGAAATAAACAGGTCTCTTTTAGTATAGACAGGATTACGTTCCATGTATATTTCAATTCATTCATGACTAATCATTGAAGTTTTCTGTTAAACACCACAGTCACTCTCATTTGGTCTTGATTTTGAATTAGAACATCAAATGATCAAGACTATTCCCTTTTGAGCTAAACATGCTCTAAAGAAATAACAAGTTGTTTTTCCTAAATATAATAAGGATTCTATTAAGGGGTGGGAGCGAGAGGAGTAGACAAATGAACATGTGATGAACATAAATAGGGTGGCGTTGGGGCACAACTACCCTCTTCCAATATCACTAGTTCTAGATCTTTTTGCCCTGCCTTCGGTAGAAGAACTTTCACTTTTCTTCAAGTTAAAACTCAAGCGGGAAATCATTAGTGTGACAACAAAATGTTGTTTCTTCTATTTTAGAAATAATTTTTTAGATGTTTGTGTAAAAAGAAAAAATAACGGAGATAAAAATGTTTGCATATAATATTACATACAATGTTATTTTTTTATGTTTAAATAATAAAACTGAAATCAAACATACCATCACTGCAAACACAAAAATAAGAGTTTGGATTGAGTCAAGTTGAATGAGTCTTGAAACCCATCAATCCAACTTGAACCAATCAAATTTGTAGTAATTAGTTTCCTTTTGAAAGAGTTGAACTTATATATATAATCGACTGATCTAGTGACCAAACTGATTAAATTTGTAAGTTTCGTGAACTAATGTAAGCCGCAATTAAATGAACCACAACTTCACCCCCAAACTCACGCTGCCAAGAGTTAAACGAACCAATTTACAGATTGTTATTCATATGCCTACCTCCAATGAATCATGAGTAATTGATAAAATAAATTATACAAATTAAATAAGTAATACAGGAGGCCTGAAATCACTAAATAAATCCTTACATTCTAGTAATTAGGTTGGAGTATTTTAAATAAAAAAACTTAAATATATTTTTTATCCTTACATTTTAGTAAATTTTTTTTTTTTACTTTTTTTTTTTAAAATTAATCCTTACATTTTTATAACAATTTATTTTAGTCTCGTCTACCATAAAATTAAAATGTATTGACTTCTTAAATAATCACCTCAGTGGTAAAAACTAAAAAAATAATAATTAAAATACCAAAGATATTCAAATAGACTAAAAAAAATGCTAAAATATAAAGATCTATAACATATTTATGCTAATACAAAATATATTAAGTGAATCACAAAAGTTACGCAAGCCTATATCTTTATGATTAGGTTCATGTGCGAATTCATAATTCAAAAAAAGAATTCTTTTTACATAAAGCATTTTTGTAGGTAAAAATATTACATCCATACATTGCCTTGTCATAAGTCATTGGGATTTGACTAATATTGAAGAGCTTAGATAATTTATACAAGGTTATTGATTCTAATCTCATTGCAACCGTTGTAAGAAAATCATGTATTACCTTATCACTATTTAACTGTACAGTCAGTCACATATTGTTTTTGACACTTTTATATTTGATCTTTAACACCCAACAGTTGTGTGAAACGGTGCAATTGGTACTAACATGTGTCAAGCTTTCTTTTTCTGCAAATTGTAAATAAAGTCTTATAATAAAATGAAATATAAACTTTACAGATTATTATTATTATTATTAGTTTAAAGGAAGGATGGGAAGGGGGGGTTGGGGTACCTGCAAGTCCTACAATCAATGTCATTTAAGCGGCCCATATGAATTCTTTGTTTTTGGTCAACCAAGGACTATATATATTTAATTGGGCAAAATTTTAGAATATCTAGACTTAGGTTTCAAGCCCAGATAGTATTTTGGGCTCAGGCTCTACTCACAAATAATTCTACCCAACTGAACCAAACGTCCATGGCTCATAAGTTACAATCCCTAAAGCTGTGGACATCCATCGACACAATAACTTAACATAGAAATCCATGGACTTGCCCTTTTTTCCTCTCAAAGCAAAGCTCAGAGGGAAAAAAAAATTCATATGAGAAATTCCATGATTTCAAATAATCTTAACAATATAGTTTAAACAATCAATATATAATACAACATCTTGTGCAGAAGGTATGGTAGCGTTATTAGGTCCTTGAATCCAAAAGCATAATGGTACTAAGATTCATTGGGTTCATGTATTTGGAGGATCCGATCATGAATCTTTCTACAATCAATCTGTTTGCTTTCTCACTTGGATGGAAAGGGTCCCAAAATGCAAATGCATCCCTGTTTGAGCACAGATTAGACACCGGAGTACATAGTCCAATCCCATTGTAAGGTCCTTGACCACAGCATGCAACTTTTGATGTCACAAATCCTGCATTTGAATTGTGAAAGGTGGTCATGCTGGATCTCTCGGATTTCTAAACCCACAGAACTGTTAATTGAATGTAGACCCAGATAATGAATATAAAAACTTATACATTCCATTTGTTGATTTTTTTTTTTTCATGAAAAAGTACTATTAAAAAAAACAATTTTTTTCAATTGTTTAGATTGTTTGGTTAATATAAATGAAAAAAACATATAAATGATTTCAGTATTTTTTTAGAGAAGTTATTTTGAATAGCTTCTAGAAAAAGGTAAAATTATATCTACCCACTAAAATAAAAGTACTTTTTATAATTATAAAAAAAATTATTTGTTAAAATTTCTAAAAAATAAACCACTTTTTTATATATATACTAAAACTCACTTCTTTTTAAAAGTTGAAACAAACACTCGTACGTATTTATTTTGAGAATAATAGCAATATGTTGTAATTATATTATATCATATTTTAATAACCAAGTTTTATTTCAAAAGTCTAAGTTAAAGTTACGTCAAAGTATTCAACTTATAAAAATAATTATTATTTTTATACAAGCTTTTTTATAAAAATTTATCTAAAAAGTGAACTAAAGTGAAATTATAAGTTTGCCATTTTGTATCTACAGTACCAACGGTGAGGTTGCTGGGGGAATAGCAAACCTACTGCGGGAGGTTGGCAGTTGAGCATCTCAAGAAGGGCCCAGTGCCTTAAATGACTATGTTGGGACCAATACATGCTCCATGCCAATATGATTTATATCTTACACTTTTTATCTGCTTTTCTTATGGATGTGCACAATTTACATAGGATCATTTTTTATACATGAAAAATTCAGCTAAAATATTTTTAGATATAAATAAAATAATTTTTTTAAATTATTTCCAAACACATACTACTACTAGTTACTCTAAACTTCTGAATATGCAAAACAAGATGAGACTTTTTTGACCATTGATTTAAATTAAGTATTTATAAAATACAGCTAATTTTTAATTAATAGTAGATAAACGTTGACTCTGGTTTCACCCTTTTTCCCACTCTAGAAAATGAAAATCCAAAATCTATGCTGAGTAGAGCAATATCTAATTAAGTAAAGTGAGGAACTAAAAGACACAGAGCAACAGTATCTAATAAAGTAAATGCTGGAAAGCAGAGAATGACATACCGTATGCTTGTGGATTGCTAATAAAATCCATATTCATTGCGAAAGCATTTGCCGAAATAAAGATGACTGAGCCAATTTCAGCGTTGAGTTGATTGACCAATTCGACGAGCTGGGGGTTGAACAAGTCAGAAGCACGTTGCAGATCAACTGCGCATTCTCCGTTTCTACTACGTTGGGCTAATTCTGCCGGCACGCAACCTAATGGTCCCGTTCCAGTCACCAAAACTCGCCTTGCCCCCAATTCATAAAGCCTCTGCAATGTGTTCATTTATTTAATTATTCAACTTAACAATACATACCCACTGTTGTTGCCGCTGAATGGTTTGCAAAATTAAATGACAACTTGCAAGTGCAAGAGAGACACCACATTGCTCATTAATTCTACATTAATTCATATATTTGACCTTATTGATATTGTTGTACACTGTTTGCCCACATAATTTTATAAACTTTATATTGGGTAACGTAATCTATGTCCAGTTTAAGTAAATTTTATAAAAGAAAAAAACTAATATAAAAAATAAGGTAGACTTCCATAACTCAACTTGCTTCCGATAGCACGCATACGCAGCATAAAATGTTTGCAGTGAGGACTCGTCAATTATTAATTAGAGGTTAAAATCTAATAGAAATTCATTTTGACTATATAGGTAAAATAGCAGGGTTATTGCAGTGGTTGGGTTCGTGTACTTTCCTTTTACACCTATCTTTGAAAAAATGTCTAGTCCAACTTGTGAACAAGCGCGTTAGGCGGGTCAATTAAATCAATTTGTCCTCTTTTTAAGTGAGATAGATGCGTATCTACGCAAGAATCACAAACGTTATTACTAGTACTACGGATGAACTTTTACACTAACCTTTTAGGTGCGTTGGTTTTAATGTACATAATTGAATTTTCAATAATGATATTCTATCATTCTCAAGAATACCATTATAAAGTAATACTTCTTGGAATTTGAAATAATAAAATGAGGTAGTGAGGATAGAAAAAAGGAAGTTACCACTCCATTAGAATACTACAGTAAAAGATTACTTCCATCATTATTATTAAAAAGTAATGTATCACTACTCCCTCCTCGCTATGTGAATAGAGATAAAATAAAACATAAAAATGTTAATTTATTCTTAAAAAGTTAACTCACAGAAGAATGTTTCTTCAAGTCTTATACTGTACATTTATGGGTGGTTCAATATAGGCAATCTAACATTCTAATACTATATTAGAAATTTCAAACCTAATTCATTTCCAAAATCTAACTTATAAAGAAAGTTCGCTAAAATCTTATAAAAAGTTTTTTTTTTACTCTATTTTTTATCAATGTAGTGTAAGACATTTTAATAACTTTCTTAAAAATCTACTATGACTATAAATATATTTTTTTTCAACCTTATATCAAACATAAAGATGTTATGCTTTAAAGTTGATGCATTTTTTTAAAAAATTAATTCTACGAATCTAAAAATAAAACCCTTAAAATTAACAAGAAGTAAAAGAGAGAGATGGTTCACATTCCTCTCTGTCTCTCCGTTTTACTTATAGAAGTTAGAACATTTTAGACTAGTGACATTTATATAAAGAAGATAGGCTATGGCATATTATCTCGGGATATGCAGTTGACCAAAAAATAATTAAAGTTCAGTGAATAACATGAGCATGACCTATTTCTAATGCACAAATACATTACTTCTTTCGATCTTTTTTATAAAAAATAAAAAAGTGATTTTATAAGGAATAAAATAATAAATCACCACACCATAAAAAATAATTAATTTTGTTATATTTTTTATAAATATAAATTTTATTTTAAAAATATCTATTATATTAAATAGTATAATTAGTAATTTATATATTTAATGATACTAATAAAAAAATAGTATTAAAAAATTTAACAATTAATACATCTTAAATCTATTATTTATTTCTTACAATAAAAAGAAAAAAATCTCCATTTTATTTCTTATAAAAAGAATCAAAAGTATTATTTTAAATTGTTACTTGCATAAAGTTATTCATTATCTACTTTTAATTTGTTCATCGATATCTTTTAGATGTGGTCACATGCATGACAAACATATCAACAAATTGGATTATACTGATAATGATAATAATAGCAACACGAGAAGTGAAGGATAGCAATACCACAAGAATTTTGCGATACTCAGAAATAAGGTATACAACGTAGTCTGGAAGTGCAAATTGGCGTGATCTTGCAGAGAATGGCACCAGGTAATAGTTGTTAACAAAATCATTGCCACCTAAGGTTATGAGAACCAGTGCTTGGTTCACCAATCGTCGAGCCTGTTCTTCTCCGATTAGTGCACTCACCCTTTGTTGATACTGCTCAAAGTACTGCAACTGTCTGGTGATTCGGATTATATTTATCTGAAAATGTAGATATATAGCATTTTAATGGCCTTATTTAATATCGTTCAAACACCATATATAATAAAACTAGTTTGGACAGATGATACGTTGTTATTAGCTACTTCATAATTGGTTCATGCCCTTAATAAACAGTAAAAGTTTAAGATATCAAACACTCCCTCTCATATTATGCATTGACTACATAATTGTTGTGATAAAATAGTTATGATTTTATCTATAGTATTTAAATGAAATGCAAATAAATAAAGACGATATTATTTTTTTTTAAGAATAACCAATATTTTAAAATATATAAAATGGCATATTGACAAATGAAATAAAATAAATTGATGGGAAGGAATCTAATGAGAGAGATGAAAGAAAGAAACTAGAATGATCATGACGAAACTAGTGCAAAAAAATTAGAGAATTTTTTGCGTGTATTATTATAATACCACTTAAAAATAGAATGTATGGCGAAAACAACAGAAAAAAATGTTGGCTTACAAACTGAATTCCAGTGTCATTGAGAATTCCTATCCCAGCAGAAGCAAAGTTGGCACCAACGAGCAGCCTCTCTCCATTGAGCTGCGGACTCAAGTATGGCAATGTGGGTTCTGAGCCAATTTGCTCACCTACGTCCACCATAATTCACGCAGTTCATATATATGTATGTGCATTACCAACAAATAAAGTTTAAGATATCAAATTAAGAACAACGAAATGTGCATAAATAAATCTTTAGTTTTTTTTTAGTTATTAAAAAGTGTAATAATGTACTTCTATCTTGATTTTTAATGAAACTTCAACACAATTTCTGATAAAATTTTAGTATTACTTCATTGGTTAGCAAAGAGCATTAAAACACCACAAAACATTAACATAAATTTAGTTGAAAAGTTACTTGAATAATTAAATTGATTAGGGACAGTGATATATAGATATATTTGAGGACCCAACTGATAATGTCCGGGATGTTGAGGCCATTGGAGAAACGCCCAGTGGCTCTGTGAGTGGGATAATCAATGCCATAAGGATATGCGTCGGCACGAGCAGTGGTGAGTAGGTAGTTGTTGTTGCCATTATCAACTAGCGAATCGCCAAAAACAAAAAATGCTCGACCCTCAACTTGTGGAACAACGTTGTTCCAAGTGAACAAGATAAGAAGACATGTAACTATGGAAGAAACAAAAACCCTTGCGTTGTTTTCGTCCATTTGAGTAGTGTCTACAAAGGTACCACCCTTAGAAAATGACTAATGTCTATCCCTCACTCTATATCTGGTGATGAACAAGTATTGAGTTATGAGTGCCTTATTTTATAGAGGCTCATCTTTGTGATATTTGATGTGCCGAATTAAATAGCTTCTGCTACCGCAAACAGATGAAGATAACGACCATAATAAAGAGAGGCCTATCAATACTAGCTAGAATTCAATTCCATGTACCAATGTTCGTGTGTGTTAAATGCATCATGGCCGGGTTACAGCTAGTTAGATTTGAAGAGCTCATATTTTTTATCTTCCAAAAATTTTCATCGTTTTCTTTTAAATTCCCACAAATAATAAGATAACCTATTTAAAAGGGTAACTTTTAATGTTGAGAATAATTCATATTTATTGTCTTTAACCTAAGTTTTTGTTTACCAACTATTTGAAAAAGGATGTCAATCAATTTTATTGGTAGTACGTATGTGTATTACTGATCCAAGTCCACAGTTGCCATTAAAGATATGTATAAGAAACAGGGGGATGAATAGTACGATTTGCATATCATAGTTGCCTCCATGAGACAATTTGAAAAAAATAAAAATAAACTTGAAATCTACCACATTTAAACCTCTTCAATACCTTGTCACTCTTGTTCCCAAATTTCCCTACCCAGTTAGCCTGTATATGGATCATTTAGAAAGGGGTTAATAAATAATAGTCCATGTAGGCCACAGGGCTTGTATCTCATCACTAGATTAAAAAATTATCCACCTACGTGCAAGCTGGCAATTAATCCTCATGCTTAACATGCGTAGGCTATATGCAAACCACCTTCAAATATAAAATTATCATCATTCTTCTTGCGGCTGTTAATTACCAAATTATATAATCTTATATTTTTCACATATTTTTCTTACAATTAAAAAAAAGTAATATGTCTCCATTAATAGTAAGAAAATTTAATGTTGAGACAATTGGGATGCCTAATTTATTTGGAATTTGCCTCCTATACTAAGCTTGCTCTCTTTTGTTAACGTGTCAATATCTGCAGATTCCTTTCCTCTGTTACAGTATGTTTGGTTTAGCTTTTGAAAATCTCTAAATAAACTATGGTTATGATAAAATTAATGTTTGTTTCTCATAATTTAATCAAAACATAAATTTCGTTTAAAAATGCAATAAAAAATATTACAGTGTTAATAATTAAATTAAAAATTTACTAATAATCTAAAAATTATGTTATTATATACAAATAAATAATATTGTTTATAATAATTAATTTAACAAATGTATTTACAATGTATTTTAAACAATTAATTGATAGTACACAAACATTTATACTTGTAGTATATAAAAAATAAACCCTAGTATTTATTTTTTTCCTTTCCCCGTCTATTATTGTATAGACACAATTATACTTTGAAAAGGATAAATATATTTTGACTGAATCAACGTTTTTTAAAGCTTTTCTTTCACTTATTCTACCGGTCAATCAACCTCTATGTATATAAATTATGAATATTAATTCTTCATTATGTTTTTGGAGGTAATATTAAACGGATATACTTTGTATGATTTAATTTTTATTTAATATAATAAAATATTTATTACTGATTGTTAAAATATTTATTCTTTTTAAATTATGAGTTTTATTGAATTTAAAAATAATCATATTATATTTTAAATTATTTAAATTAAAATTTAATCAAGGGTCATCTTATCTTACTCTTTTTGTGGTTTGCTTTTTTTATTTTTTCTTTTCTTTTCTGTTCTTCTTAGAAAAAAGGGTCATCTCGTAGGCCAACTGGCATTTAATCTGTAACGCTGGGAAGCGGGATATGTGCCGAAAAACTATCGGTCGAGACTCGAGGGAGACAAATTAAACTACAACAGATAATGCAAGTAAGAAATGTATTTATAAGAAATCATCTATTATTATTTTATTAAATATAAAAAACAAATATTTTTTAAATTATATTAATTATTAAGTTCTTTTATATTTTTATTTAATGTAATAATTATGCTAACAAAATACTCACGTTTTATCTATAAAAATAATACATTTAATCAATTTATATATAACATGCATATTTAATTATCTAGTATTATAGCTATTTTTAGAATATAATATAAATTTATCATATTAATTGTATTTTATTGATCTTAATAAATTAAGTACTTATTTTCTATAAATAAAATTGGAGATAGTGATAATTTTTAATCAACTTAGAAGTACATATAATAAAAATTAGTAACAATAAATTTTATTTAAAAATTATAATATTTATAATATTAATATATTATATTGCAATAAATTATAATTTTTTAATAAAAAATATTATGTATAAATTGATTGTTTTAACTACAATTTTAGCTTGTATTTAATTAAATATACATGTTAAAAAATTTATTTATACATAATACTAATATTTAAATTAAAATTAAAATAAATTTAGATAATAAGTATTTTTATTTTTAATATTTTTTAAAAAATTTCAACATATGTTTAAAGATATAAAATATTATTATGTTTTTTTAATGTAGATTAAAAATCACTCTTGTAATAATTACTCTTCAATGGAGTAATGGACGGTTTGTCTATTAATAATTCACGGAAAAACTAAAATTAATGTTGAAGCAATGTTTTTATTTTGAAACGATATGATACCTAGGCTAAGTTTGAGAACCCCGTACCATTTTGCAAAACCTTTTTATCCTCCATTGTATGAAAATCTAGCAGCCTATGAGGCTATCATATTAAACTTGTGATAATTTCAACTTTAAGTAAATTAAGTCCAAAATTTTATTAATTGATAATTCTTTTAGTTAAAAATATTGGATTTTAGGCCACTCAGTAAGTTTATTATGACTAATTAGTTAATAATAATAATAATAATAATGTCTCTACTACTATGTGAAAGTTTTATTATAATATTTTAAATTTAGGTTCGTTTATTATTAACCTGCCTATTAAACGGAACAGATTGGAAATTGTCATTTGCTCAACACAAAGATTGTATAGAGATGACATGTTCGTTTACAATGATAAATAACGTTTTTGCTTCTGCTCGTAGATATTATGGCCTAATTAACTCGTGTAACCATGGTACTCAAGATGGGAGAAAAAAATTAGCACTCCCATCTTGGACAATATATAGGAGCTGGAACTAAAATGTGGCAGAGTCTTGGTTAATAAATCAGCTACTTAATGATTTGCCTTATAATCTATACTTTAATAGAACTAAAATGTGTCGCATAATTTTTATATGTATAAATTTTTAAAATGATTACTTTATTATTATTATTATTATTATTTGTACAATTAAGACAATAAAAAGGAGAAGACAGTCAATATTTTTTACCAAACATATATACCAATGACATGCATGTTGCAGAGATGAAAAATTATATTGTACAAAGTCTGAAAATACTGTACCAGAATTGAGATTTGAGAGCAATTTCGTTTTAAATTATAAAACATTTAGAACTTTTATAAAATATTGCGTTATATGATGTGTTATATTTAAGAGAATAGTTAAACAATCGCTCTCAAAAGTTAAGATTAGAGAGCGGTTCATGCAGAACCGCTCTCCAAAGTATATATATAAGATTAGATAGCAGTTTTACGTGGAATCGCTCTCCAAAGTATAAATGTAGATCACGAATCTGAAATTTGAAATTGATTTCTTTTTAAGTTTTCTGTTACAAAGTAAAGTTAATTTATTATTACGTTTAAATCAAAATTTGGAATTGATTTCTTTATAAGTTTTCTTCATTTTTATTATAAATTAAAATTAAATATTGAGTTTATACATTTCGTATTAACCAAACAGTCTATATCTACATGAACAAAAAAAATGAACAAATTAGTAGAATGATCTTTAACGTTAATAGAGAGAAAAAAGAAAAAAAAATGAATAAATCACCATTAACAAAGATACGAAGAAATAAAAAAAATAATGAAGAAGTACCTATAGATATGAAAAAAAAAAACTAATTGTTAGCCTAAAGAAGATGAAGAAAGTTGGCTAACAGAGAATAAAGAGGTATCTACAAATGTGAAATTAACAAAAAACTGTTCTCAAAAGTATAGATCTGATAACAGTTCTCTATTAACCACTCTCAGAAATATAAATCTGAGAGCGATTAATAAAGAACCGCTCTCTAAATGTATAGTTACAAAGCGATTTTTACTAACCGCTGTCTAAGTTAGCGCTCTAAAAACTCATTTATGGCGTAGTGAAACAATTTACGTAATGAGTCACTGCTACCTAATTAAAATCGTTCAACATTAACCAATTAATGTGCATGAAAATATATGTTTATAAAATGAGATTTTGAATTATACTTCATATAACACATAAGATACAAGTTTTTAGAGTGCTAACTTAGATAGCAATTAATAAAAATTGCTTTATAATAATACATTTAGAAAACGGTTAGTATTGGACCACTCTCATATCTATACATTTAAAGAACGATTAGTGTTGTAACAATATATTTTGAATCATACTTCATATAACACATTAGAAAAAAATGAGTTTTTGGAACGCTAACTTAGATAGCAATTGATATTAACTGCTTTATAAAGTCACACATTGGAGAGCAGTTAATAAATAACTAATTTTTAAAGTTATTATTGGAGAGAGGTTAACAAAAAATCATAATCGCTATTCAAAGTCTTTAACTTTTATAAGTAAAACATGTTCAATTTATGAATCTTTTCGTCTTACTAACAAAGTTGATCTTTTTTATTTTTATAAGTTCTTTTTGTCATTTTTGTGTTAATAAAGTTGGTGTTTTTAGTCTTTTTTACATTTATAGGTTCACTTCGTCTTCTCTGTTTTTTTCATCTTCTTTGCAATATTTATAAACTCAATATTTAATTTTAATTTATGATAATTTTTTTTAATATCATATATATAAATTAAAATTTAAACATAATAATATATTAATTTTAATTTGTAAAAAAAAAACTAACAAAAAAATAAATTTCAAATTTTAGATTTTTAATTTACACTCATACTTTACTTTATAG